TTGTTTGCTGGCTTATTATTTTAAGTGTGTATCTTTCATTTCTTCTCAGAATTTGATTTTGTGACCCTAACATTATATAATGGTGGTAGTGGAGACTTATGTGTGGCTAGGATGTTGAATAGATTTCAGCAGAGCTTCCAGACTAACAGAGATTAGGAAGAGAGAGCTAACAATCTACTTGCGAAAACCAGCCAACAAAAACCATGCGTGGTACTCTCGTTGTTTAATAATCTGTTGGCATTACGTTAAAAACAATGACAACCTAGGTGGACTGCTTCGCCCTCTTCGCCTTTCTACCACTTTTAGTTTATCTTCTGTTTGTTTGCATCCCTTTAAAAATAATGATAAGTCTTTGATTTGACTTGCCTGTTTCCGATACTGCCTTCATTCCTCTCCTACTTGCCTATGTTTGCCCTTTTGTACAGTGGTTTCCAAGCTGCAGGCCGTGGTTTGTTAGTGAGGTTGTTAAATCAGTTTATTCACTGCTGACCAACATGTTCCAATAAATGAAATAGGATGGAATGGAAGCAAATGTACCTATGAACCTTTCATAGTTGTACTAACGACTTCATTATCAGATACAGATAATGAATATAAGCCATGACTTACTGTAAAATGAAATATGTTTATTATTGCTTGGAACAAAATAAGCTTGTGTTCCCAAAATTATATTAACTAGTAAATTTGCATTATAGAGGCAGCAGACAAATATTTCACACATGCAGTAGACCAGATTCTAGCTCCAATGAACCTTCTTTGACAACGGTACCAGTGTATTGGTTTTCCTCCCTTTTCTGTTGTCCCAGGCAAATAGAGACCAATTGTTGTACCTTAGATAGCTGTTCTTAAGCTTCTAAGACCTCCAGTACTGTGTAACGAAACTATGAAGTAGAAAAGAGACACTAAAAATGTATTAGGCCAATTGAATGGACTATTCCAAGAAACCAAGATCCTACATCCAAATCCAGAAAACAACTCCCTTGAGGCATTTGGCTGTACACAACACAGTATCAGCAGCTGCTCTTATGTTGTTGCTGTCGTATTCCACTAGCTTAGAGGAAGTCCTCTTTACCTTTACAGTACCCTTTAGCCTTGAAATATTTAACATGCATGTCAGTTCAGTCACTGGTATTTAGCTTGCTTTAAAAATTAGGAATCGGATGCCTTGAGAATTAACGTGTTTGTACTAGGGCCATGCAGGTCAACGAGAATGAACTAACAGAGTCTTGAGCCAGAATCCAAGACGTTGAGTCGCGCTTTATTTATTTATTTTTTTAAAACTACAAGTCCAGTTGCTTTCTTTTATCTTTGCAGGGTAGCTTGTATTACACTGTTGCTTTTCATAAGATCCAATTCATTATAATGGCTTTATTTATGAGCTAGGTTCAAATACTAAACTTTCAGCTTGCATCCAGGCAGTTCGTTGTGGTTAAGTTGGCCCCCAATTCATGATGACTCATGTGAGTCGGAATTGAACTGCATTCCATAGTGTTTTCAGTGGCTGATTTTTTCAGCGTATATTGCCAGACCTTTCTTCCAAGGTACCTTTGAGTGGACTAAATCCTCCAACCGTCCAGGTAGCAGCTGAGTATCTTAACCATTTGGATCACCCAGGGACTCTCAGCCTACATTAGAGAAACTGTTATGAACCAAACCTGCAGGCTCCTGAACATGATCTTTTCCAGTCTATGTCAGTTGCTGCAACTTTTCTGAGTGGGCATTATAATCTTTTTTTTTTAATATATGAAGAAACTGAGGCAAAAGAGCCTAAGTAACTTACCAAAGTCACAGGGTAGCAAGTGTTAAAACGCTTTACCCCAACCTCTGAACTCTTCTACGTGTACCTGCCTGCCTTTAGGCTTACCACATGCAGTGAATTAAAGCTATTGCTCTGCCTCTACTGTTGTGCAAAGATAAAAATCACAAGAAACAAAGGAATCCCCGACGTTTTGCATTCATCCTTCAAGCTGGTGATGCTGCTGCTTTTCTTGTACTAAGGGGCCACTTCTCCCAGCAGATTTCAGAATCACACCCAACACTTAGCTGTTTTCAATCTGCAGCCTGTAGCCATTAATTAGTTCTGAAGAGTTAAGTCATTGTTATCTCATTTTACAGACGAGACAGGCAGTATGGAGAGAGGTGAGGTAATGGGTTCTAGGATCAGCAGTGAGTCCCCGGAGAGCTTAGACGGGACCCCTCTATCCCAGACTTAGCCTAGGACACACAGACAGTGCTGAAGAGTGTGTCATAATCTTAGCTCCTTCATAACATGCACCGTAAATAAGGATTCTTCATCTCTTCTGCTGTTTCCGTGTTGTTTTTGTTAAGCGCTGTTGTGTCAGGTCCGACTCATAGTGACCCCGTATAGGGTTTCCAAGGCTACAAATCTTTATGGGAGCAGAATGTCTCTTCTTTCTCCCAAGGAGCGGCCGGTAGGTTTGAACTGCCAACCTTGTGGTTACAGTCCAGTGCTTATCCCACAGCACCACCAGTGCTCCTTCGCAGCGTGTTATAAAACGTGGTAACAGATGGGAAACAGAAAGGTGACGTTAAGGAGTTTATACTCAGGAAGTATATTTTCAAGAAACTACAAGGGGCTTCATGCACTACATAGCAAAATGGAATTTTTCCATGAAGTTTTTGAAGCCCCCTAATACTTCAAGTCGTGAAGCTAAGCGCATTCAAGTCAAAAATTGCTAATATCGATATTCTCTTTACAAAAAGAATGAATTTTGGGGGGCTTACAGAGAAAGGATGGGCTTACTTTGAGATGGCTGTAGGATAAGCACTGGGCTGTTAACTGCAAGGTTGGCAGTTCAAACCTGGCGGCCACTCCGTGGGGGAAAGATGAGGCTTTCTGCTCCCACAAAGATTTACAGCCTTGGAAACCCTGTAAAGGCTCACTATGATTTGGAATGGACTGTGGGGTTTTTTTGATGTCAAGCAACAGTGGAGTCTCTGGATGCTGCAAACGGTTACACCAATGGCTATTCACCGAAAGGTTGGCAATGTGAACCCACTCAGCTGTGCTGTGAAAGAAAGTCCTGGAGACCCTACTGTAGGAGAAGCAGCCGTTGAAACCTCCATGACACATAGGGGCTGCTGTGGGTCAGAATCAGCTTGACAGCAACTGGTTTGTTGTGGGGCTTCCTGGTATGGAGCCGCAAGAAGTAAAATGATTTGTTCTTTAGTTGTTCTTTGTTTTAAGAATTATCATTTTAAGACCAGGCTTACTTGTCAGATAAAGACTGGTGTAACCTGGAAGTGATGGCCCTTGGTTATCTTTCAACTCGGTAACTGAACTCATTCCTGTGGGTCAATGTTCAGCCAAGCAACAGGGGGGACAACAGCACTAGTGAGGTACAGACACCACAGAATGGTCAGCTATTCAAGATCATAAGGTCAGCATTTACCTAAGGGCAAATTCAGAAGAGTTGGGAAAGATGGAGAAATGGAAACGCCCTCCTGGGGGAAGTGGGATAAGTGATGTTGTATAGAGGGGATGATAAGCATTGAAATCATTGAATGAAGTCTATGATTTGTTGACTGCTATAAACCTTCATTCAACTCACAATAATAAAGTTTAAAAAAAAGAAATGATCTTTTTCAAGCCCATTAATATATAGCCACATAAAATGTGGTTAGCTTTGATTTTATACATAGCATCTCTGACCGCCCAGAGATGACATGAAATTAGCAAAAGAAAAAAAAAAGGAGTCTTTTTGTTTGCTTGTACTGTAATGCAAATAGCCTCAGATTTCTCAAATACCAGTGAAATCCAAGCAGTAGTGGAGAATTTATTATTTTCTCCCCAAAGTGTCTTTTTAATATATAGTATATGTAATGTTTGGGGGTTAGCAAGCAAACAAAGTAAAAGAAAGCCACACATTTAATATGTAGGTAGGTGTCTGCACACTTCTCTTTCTGGTATATGAAGTTTGTTATCTCCAATGATAACTTTGTTGACAGCACTCACAAATATATTTGGAGGCAAGTTTTTATAAAATAGATCCAGAATCCAATGAGTAAGAGGCCCTGTTCATGACACATGTCAGCCTCAGCTAGATGGTGCATTTTCTGTTTTAAAGATTCAAACAAAACTTTCCACATTCTTCTGTGGGGGAAAAAAAAAAATTACATTGGAAGCCCTTTTTCACCCAAACACATTTTGAGATAAGAGCTCATAAGTCTTGACATTATTTCATTTTGTTATGCGCATCTGTCCAGGGACTGAGATATGATACAGCTACTAAAAACTGATGATTGTATGACAGAAAGATGTGACAGCATTTCATTCCATTATGTTCTGATTATACATTTATCAGCAAACCTGTATCTCCTCTAGTTCAGCTAGAAATTGGTAGAATTCAAGAACTCAAAGAACCATCCTATTATTTGGTATCATCTTACATTTTAGAGAAGTTGCTTGGTTGAGTCATTGTTAAACCTTTTGCTTCTCTTTTCATTATTGTGGTGTACTATCCACAGATCACATTTCTATAGGCCCTATAACTGCTTTGCCGCAAAAATTAAATGCCGGGATATTTCATACATATACGCCAGAGTTTCAATGCTTGTCAATCATAGTTTATAAAATGTAGGGATTACAACCTGATATTAACATCCAAATCCATTGTGCTCATTTTATGTGTGAAAATGAGAAGCTCTTGCTCAGACGCTAGATTTCCCAGCCTTTTTTGCCGTCCTGTTTTTAATTTATCTCCAGGTTTTGAGTCAGTAAAATGATTCTTGCTTATCAATTGAATGTCATGATAAAACGTATCTATGAATCAGAAGGATCAGAACGAAGGGGGAATCTGTAGGTTGCTTGGCATTCGCCAACCCAGCTGAAAGTTTTAATGGGGCTCATTCCGCCATAGAATTAATAGATACCTGTTTTCTCAGAACTCCTGATAGGGTTTGCTTCATTAGAAATGCCTCACCTTAGGGAGAAGACCTTTTAAGCCTGGTTATTCTTACTGCTGTTGTTTTTTTAACAGGTGTACTTCAAGAGGAACTATTCAGATATCACCCACAATGGTCACGTGATGATGAACACTTCCAATGGACAGCCGTCGGCCTTAACCATTTTTGAGACAGCACTGTGATTCTACCAAGATAGCACATCTATTCCAATGGCATTTTCCAATAGTTTTTGCACTGTGTAAACTTTTTTTTTTTTTTAAACTTTCGCACCAACTTTTTATGCATACAAGGTGTTAATATATTTGGATTTTCTCCCAACTTCACCAATGGTTTCAAGCTTTTGCAAAATGATTTATATTTTTATTTAAATGTTATATATATATATATATTTTTTTTCTTTTCTTTTTCTTCTCCAAATCAGAGGTGCAGGCCACCAATAAAAGCTGTCTACCAGGTTTTGTGCCTTAAGAGACTCCAGAGCCAAAGCCCATTTTGTAGGGTATAAGACAAAGCTGCCACTGAATTTTCTTCTTTACTTCCCCCAAATAGCATCGCACTCTCCTGTTACATCAGGGATTCTGTTTACTTGAAGACTGTGTGAAGTTGCCATTTTTCCTCACCGCTTTGATTAACGGGACTCAGATCTATTACTTTTCCCAAGGACTTCTTGGTAAAATCATACAAATAAACCTGATACAGAATGACAAATGTACTTTAGTTTCTGTGAGGGCATCATAGAGCCAGCCTGCTCCCCTTAAAAAACAGGCGTGGTCAAAATACAGAGAGACAATATTTACTTTATTTCGTGTTCCAGCAGAAAAGGAAGAGAAAGTAATACTGTTTCAAAATATTAGCCCCTGATAGAGGATTTGATGCTGAAGTATGCAAATATGGTCTCTGACCATCTTTTAGATTTCTCTGACTCTGACATGGAAATCCTGTTGCAGTTTTATACTCAGCATGGTAAGATTTTTTTGGTGGAAAAAAAAGACCAAATACAGTAAAACCTCGAACTATAGTTCCTGGAGAACATGGTGTCACTCTTACTTGGATATCTAGTGTACTGAGGGTTAACCGTCTGTGTTCTGTAAGTCTTTTGGTTTAGCCATTATTGAAATCCTTTCTGAATTTCAAGGAAGGCTCTTCTGACTAGGTGAAATGAACTGGAAGTCATTGTAAACACTTGAGGGGAATTACGCAGCACATTCTCAGGATTCTTCCAGAAGGGTCTCTTTCATGAGCCTGCCCATGTTAGTTTACCTCTGATCATTAATAGTCGTTTCTGTAGGCCTTGCTGATGAATGAACCAAACCACAATACTTCGTAGGGCCTACTCAAACTTTGTTCGAACTCTGCATCTCATTGTCTGTGAAGATGGTGGTGATGATGTCATGAGATCAAGTTCATAAACGCTGTACTATCATGGCTTAAATGGACCCTTGTACCTCTGAAAACTGCCCTCAAATTACATATTAATATATACACATGTGTATATGCTTTCATATGGCTGGGTTTGGGATTTATCAACAGAAAGAGATGTTTTCTAGAATCAGGTCTTTAAAGCACACACAGACATAGCAAACTACCAAAATTTGTTGAATGTAGTAGGTGTTTGACTCGTTTATATTTAGAAATACATGGTTACTATTTTGCTCAATAAGCCACACATAGTGCATTGTTCATTCGCAGTGGGTAGTGTTACTGGAGACTGAAATGGTAGCACTGATAACAATGAAGTATGGTAAAGCAGTAGAAATGTTTGAAATGTGTACGTTTATTTGGCCTTTGGAGGTTGAAGGCAGTTACATAAACATGTTTCTATTTTTTTCTGTTAAAACTTCATTGTAGAATTTTTCCTAATGAAGCAAAATTCAATACAAATAAAAGAGTTGGCATCTCTATTCAGTGATCTGTATTTTTGTTTTTCAATAGATTACTAACTCATGTGTTGGCTGGTGCAAGAGAACTATGAGTTATTAATTTCTTCCATGATTAACTTGTTCTCCTGGCTAATTGGATTTCCCCAATATTTGAAGAAGATTTCAGATGAATTGAAACATCTGCTTTGAAGTAGCCCAGCTGCATTCCTTCCAGAGAAGGGAGTAGTATATGAGCTTATGCCCCGGATTTGAACAAGCTAGGGTTTTGTTTTTTTGAAGGTCACTTTGTCCTAACCTAACACGAAAACTTCTATTGCTTCTAACATTTAAAACACCATAGAACCTTGGTTGTCAAAACAGTGGTCCCTCAACCAGCAGCATCAGAATCCGTGGGTACTGGACAGATACCTCTTTCTGCTGCCTCACCCCTGAGCCTACTGAAGCAGAAACTCTAGTGGTGAAGACTAGCCAATGTGTGTCTTTCCATGCTAGCAATCTAGTGCTGCCACAGAAATATCGTAAGTGGGTGGCTGTAACAAACAGTAATTTACTTAGGCACAGCTGAGGAGAATCAGAAGTCTGAATCCAGGGTGCCGGCTCCAGGGAAGACTTTCTGCCTCTGTTGAGTCTGAAGGAAGTCCTTGCCTCAGCTTCAGCTTCCGGGTCCCTTACAGATCTTCATCTGCCTGAACCCATCTCTCCTCTGCTCGTTTGTTTCATCTCTTTATGTCTCAGAAGAGATAGATCCAAGACACCAGGGGACTTCAAAAGGTTCATTGAAAAATGGAATCAAAAGACAATGGAATTTTTCCACGAACTTTCTGAAGCCTCCTTATACAAGACTGTTACTCTCAATGGAAGTCTCCTTGTTGTATTTAAGTGCTGTAGAGTTGATTCCGACCCATAACGACCCTGTATAGGGTTTCCAAGGAGCAGCTGGTGAGCTTGAGTATAAAATCAGACGGCCACATCCTTCTCACACAGAGTAAGTAACGTGAGTTTGAACTGCCAACGCGTAGTATGAGTAAAAACCACAAAACACCCACTAAAATGTGTACAATTTAAAAAGGTGACCTATCAATCAAGTGCCAGTATACCAACAGGAATGCCCATGCACTGCTGGTGCGAGTGGTTTTTAAAACAAATTACCTTGGAGAACACTTTGGCAGCATTTACTAAACTTATACATATACCCAGTGATCCATTAACTCTACGCCAAACATGTGCATATATGCACCATGAGATATATTCAAGAATGTTCCTAGAAATGCAATTCCTAATAGCTGAAAACAGGAAGTAATCCACATGCCCATCAACAGCTGCAGGAAAATGAACTTTCATGTAATGGAATATAGCAGTAAAAGTAATTAAACTCCATGAGATGAATCTCACAAACATAAATTGATCCAAGAAGCCGGACCCAAAACAATGCATATGCGCCATTCGAAAGTAGTTAGAAAACTTGTGTTAAACGTTAGAAAGATGCTTAACTTCTAAGAGTTGCAAGTTGCTGGTCATTGGAAGAGGTCATTGAAAGAGTTACAGGATGTTTGTAATGTTCTAGTTCTGTGTGGTGGTTTTAACCCAATAGCCATTGGGTTCCTCATTTGCCTTTTGCACTTTTGTTGGTCTTACTTCACAAGTAAGTTACCTAAGTAATAATGCTAATAATTGGTTGGTTGGTTGGTTGGTTGGTTGGTTGTGTACCGTCAAGTCTGTTCTGACTCACAGCGACCCTGCACAGGGTTTCTGAAGCTGTAAATCTTTACAGGAGCAGAAAGCCTCATTTTTTTCCCGCATAACAGCTGGTAGTTTCAAACTGCTGACCTTGAGGTTAGCGGTTAGCAACCTGATCCGTAACTAGTACACTACCAGAGGGCCTTAGTGCTAATAATAACATATTTAAAATGTGATAGTTGGTCTATCCTTGTTTTTCTTTTTGAATTTCAAATTGAACTAATTGAATTTGTACTCACAGTTAGTGCCTCATTCTTCTAAGAGTCATCTGCATCCGGAAAGTTATTTCTTAAGAATTTCTGGAGATTATCTTGTAGCCCATAGCAAAAACTCAAAGCCTCATTTGAAACTCTTGGTATGTGAGAAATCTAAAATCTGTTTTCTCTAACCAATTAGTAAAATATCTGCATCACTGTAATTCCAGTTAAGTGCCGGTTTCGACCCATAGCGACACTATACAGGGTTTCTGAGGAGTGGCTGGTGGGTTTGAACTGCTGACCTCGTGGTTCAAGCTGACCTTACGGTCCAGAGCATTATTCTGCAGTGCCATACCAGGACTCCAGTAGAAACACAAAATTAAGGAACTATACGGGGGAGGGAAGTTCTGGGTAAAATCCCTTTAATGCTAAGTGTTTTTGATAACACCATAAATGCTTGGCATATTAACATGTGCAGAAACAAACTTCAGGCAATTCAATGAAGAGGTGAGTTCCAGATTGATTATTTAGAATTGTGACAATTTAGTGAGTTAACTGTTAACTTTCCAGTTGATTAGCTTGTCCCCATGTAAACCAATTAAAATCCATGTTTACTCGGCAGAGGGGAAGACTATGTTAATATTAGAAACTCCTCTTCTGAAACCTGAGTGTTGTTTTCATATATAATTCTGAAAGGTTTTATGGACACTTAGAATCTTAGCATGTCCTGAAGTACTTACCCTAGTTCTAAAGTGTATAGGTTGGGTCCTGCAGCAGTTCGGTTTAGGGACATTTTCATGATATACCTTTCCCTAAAAAAACTGCATAAAGTTCATGATAGCATGCCTCAAGAAAAAAATTCCTTGTAAACTCATTAATGCAATCCAGGGAATAGAGGGACTTCTACTTGAAAGAGAAAGTCTAACCTGGAGTGAAGAAAACAGATCAATTTAAAACAATTCTCAGGTATGCCTATTGGATCAGTCCAATGGTGGTGGTGTTTTTAAGTGCTGTCGAGTAGATTCCGACCCATAGTGACCCTGTACAGGATTTCCGAGGCTGTAAATCTTTACGGGAGTAGAAAGCTTCATCTTTCTCCTGCAGAACTGCTGGTAGTTTCAAACTACTGACCTTAAGGTTCGCAACCCGATTTGTAAGCACTACGCTACCAGAGCTCCTTGTGATCAGCCCAATAGGAGTTACCAAATGCTCAAATTCTCACAAGTTCATTCACTGAAAATTGAAGTAAGGACTCCTGGTGTGGTGCTGTAGGATCAACCCTGGACTGCGAACTGCAAGATCAGCAGTTCAAGTCCACCAGCTGCTCTACACAAACCCTAGACAGGATCTCTATGAGTCGGAACTGAC